ATTCGGCAAGATTGTCCAGACGCCGTGGACGCTTTTAATCAGAAAAATGAGGACGCCCCGCGCTTCCCGGCAATAGCCCGAGAATTAGAAGGACCATGAGCTGAGCTCAAGCAGTGGCCCTGAGCTCTTGCGGTTGCAGACACGAGCTCGCGGGAACGTTAGGGGTTAACCCATACGTCGCAGGGCGACAATCTGTAGGACGACGTGCCTTGAGTTTGGCAAACTCAAATCGGAGGTGTCGCTCCACACGCACGCCCACTTCCTTGTGGCTCAACTTTAAGTCATACAGTGAGGAAAACTTCCGGTGCCGTTGCACCCATCGCGCAGAGAGCGCTTCGTCATCTATAGCACTTTCGCCAGGGCGATCACTACAGGTATTGTCCGCATTGCGGGTACACGAGAGCCACCTCGTTGAGCACTCAGAGGAGTGCGATAAGCTTCCAACGATAATTCTTGCGGAGTCAAAAACGAGCTCGAAGAGCTTTCCGTTGGCAAGCTCGCCTTCCGTTCTGGCCGGAGGTCCGATGATGTGGACGCGTAACGATCGAGTTACCCCGTCCTTCGCTTCCACAGCAGGATCCGCTGCACATTCCGCACGAGGGTCAATGACCGGTCGTGGATGAGCGTGCATCAGAGCCGCCTTACGGATAGCTTCCAGCTGCCGCCTCTGTGCCTCATCGAGGTCATTTCGTCCCTTAGGTGACGAAATGTCAGGAAACGGACATGGGGTCCGCAAGGCGCGAGCAGGGCTCGTATCACGCCGCTGACGCAGCTCGCCTTCCTCGTCATCACATTCAGGAAAAGGAGTGTCAGACTCGTAGTTGACCACCACCACATCCTCAACGAGGTCACTCGTCACTGATAGCGTGCGCGGAGTGCGACGCTCGTGCTCATCGAGCCTATGATGTACATCCCTCGGTTCCGCGGACGCACTGTCCGACAAAGCTCCGCGTGCGGGAGACGAAGTTGGGCTCTGCACGTGTTCGCTGTCAGAACCAGCGAGACTTGGTGACTTCAGTGTCGTTGACACAGGACTCATTGAGCACGGAAATCGTTTTATTCCAACGAACCAATTTGCAGTGTCTGGCGGACACGCGAGCCTCGTTGATGCAATAATCGTTTGAAACTGTAAAAATAGGGAGAGTGTAACGGGGTTACACGTACCCTAGTAACAGAGGTGTGTGTCACACGAGATGGGCATGGTGTGACTGCACCCAAACAAGAATACGGTAT